TGGAAATATAGGGGGGTGGGGGTTGTTTTGTTTTTGGTTTGTTTTATCCCAAATACAAAGGCACAGTGGAAAAAGAGAGAGAGAAAGAGATGCAGAGAAAATAATAGTTGTACAACACAGCCCAGAGTTAATTTTGCAACCCAGCAGCAGAACTGCAGAACTGAGGCTTTGAGTCAAAAATCCATCATGCACTTCAGGTTGCATCAATCTATTTAACTGGTCCCCATCATAGGAAAATGAACTATGCATACAGTTTCAGGGTCTCCTTGTAAATGTTGAAAGGAACATTAAAAATGAAGAAATAATTCTATGTCAATTATGACCCAAAGCTAGAGGAAGTAATCAAGAGTGGAAAAAAAAATAGACAGAAAGGAGACATGCAAAGGGACACGTGTGGGATTGTCAACAGTGTCATTAACTTCAGTCTACTGGGTAGATGGGATAAAACTGCTGCAGTACTTTGGCTAACATGAGTTATAAAACTGTAGTTTCAGGCATGAAAAGTAGTGAAGGATGCATCTTCTTAAATTTACACTTTTAAATGTGAAGAATAATTTACGGTTGCAAACATTGGCTTTCTTTTTATCCAATGTGCTTGTTGAGCATCTCCTATTGTTTTATAGCAGCAATTTATGAAGAGACAACTTTTCAAAGGGAAAAATTGCTAAGCAGAAAAACAAAAAAATATTTCAGACACGTCAGGCAAGTTTATTTTTTTTGTTTTTTTGAGGCAAAGGAGAGACCAATTCTTTACTACAAAGCAAGCAAATCAAAGCTACTCTACTAGTGAACAGCGAGTGTGCTTAAGACATTCTTTCTTGGAATAATTCCCAATGAATTCAGTTTGGATTACTCCCAGGTGGTGACCATCCTCTGTTTGAAAACTTGCTATTGGAGTTGAGGAATCAACTTATTGTTTTAACTAAATATAGTCTATCTCTCACTTAAGAAAACAATTTGACATGGAAAGGAATGTTATGTGTAAATGTAATTGTTCCTCTTTCACTTCACCACAAGCATGTGCCTGATCTCACAAGGCTCACAAGTTTAGAAAAAGCCTCTTCTATGTAAAGACCACTTAATCTGTTGCTTGTGCATTGATTGAGTTGATTCAATCAAGATGATTTGCGGCAAACGTTTCACGCAACTGCAATGAAGGTTACTGAAAGTCACACAACTAAACAGTGATGGAGAAAGAACTATTAGTTTTGAGAGTTTGGGGTGGTGGTGGTTCTAAGGGCATTTGGTTTGTTAGCTATGACAGGAAATAACATGGTAGACTGCATGTATCCTTTTTCCACAAAGATGCTCTTATGGTTATATATTGGCTGCAGTCTTCACACATTTACTTAAGAGTATATTCCAGGAAATCTGGTAGGTCTTCTGAATAAGCATGCATATTATTAAGCTGCTGATCTGAATTTACTTTGAAAGTTTTTTTTTAATTGATGTGGTTTTTCTTTTATTCCTTGCAGAAAATTTTCTTCGTGAGAGTATATGGACATTTAGCAAAACTAATTAAATTGGTTTTACAGTTATCAACTGCTCTAAGACATTGTAAACATCCGGAGACCTTGGTGCTCTCAGAGCTCAATTTGCTTGCAGACATTTCCCACCTACATAACATCAACAGTGTTAATAATAAATAATGTTACCTAGTTGGGTGATGGAACATCTGCAGGCAAACAACCCAGCTCAGAGAGAACCAAAGAGAACCAAAGAGAACCAGAGAGAACCAAAGACTCCCCTGTTCCACATATATTCCTTTATATTGGAATATTTTAGAGGCATATTAATGGTTTAAGTAGTACAAGTCTCAAGATTAACAGAGTTTACCCCTAGGTAAATATCTACAGTATTATAATTTCAGTGTTTCTAAATATATTTCTTAACTTACTAATCTTTTGGTTTATTTTCATTTACACAAGAATCCATACACAAATATAGGATACCTTTTGAAACAAAGGAATTAATATCTTGGTTTAATCTTGGTTTAATTTAAATAATCATGGTTGAGTTCCTTCCACCAACTCCACCATCTCAGACAGGTGAGCAAGAGACTGCATGCAGACCCAGGCATTCAAAGTGTCTTGCTTCCTACCACTCCTTGATCACAAAGTATTCACTTGCAATATCCAATATTTGTACCTGGCAATCTAATTTCACCAACACTGCTTCTTGGATACTCTTATCTACATCAAAATCTTTGGTTTATTTCTTCATGTATTATTTATCTACTCTTTTCATAGGGGAAGAGAACATTCTACGCATGGGATTATAATCTTGGGCAGAATTAAGGTAAGTAAATCAGTTTGGGTTGTTTTCAAATATATATTCAAATATATACAAATATATATTTATTTATTTATTTGGTGGGTGAAAGTTTCCCATCCTTGTTTTCTCAAATGGAGAGCATTCCCATGTTAACTATTGCCATACTTTCTTGAGCATACTGCAATCTGTCAGTCTTTTATTCACAGTTTGTCTCTGCAGAAAAAGACTTAGCGCTTATGAAAAGCATAGCTCAGGGTTTTTGTTTTAAATTAATCTTTCTACTCTTTGAATACACTCCAGTCTTCCAGAGACACTGGTAATACAACTGTACATTAAAGAAAATGCCTGATTTTATGCGTGTGTGTGTGTGTGGCATGCAATTGTTTCTTGTTAATACTTTCCCCTCACCAACCGTACATCTCTGTAACCCTCGCAGTAGCTAACCTCATATTATAAATGTACCGAGCAGAAGGCATGCCAAGTGACATCAATTAATTTAATTAACATTGCAGGTTACAGAAACGTGACTCATAACTGGCTGATTTGTATTTTAATTGAAGCAATACGTCTCTTCCCTCGCCCCGCAAATTGCCCGAAATAAGCGGTTCCATTTCAAGCATGAAAGGAGAGCAAACGAGTTCGAGGGAAATCTAACCATCTTCCGGAGGAGTTCCCCTAACTTGAGTCGATTTTGCACAAAACGTTGCACCTACAGCAAAAAAAAATAAAAAGAAATCCTCTTCGTGGCAAGGCTCACAAACCCATCTGTTCCAAGCAACGACTAAAAAACAAACAAACAAACCTCCACAAGATCATCCAGCGAGTCCCAAATCCAGATTCTCCTCTTGGGTTTCCTTTAAGCGAGAGGGCATTATTTACAACCTAGGCAAGATCCCACGAAGCCCAAAGTTTCGGCTAACAAACGAATCTACCTTCGTTAGGTCTCCGCCTTGCTCTGCCCAGCTCTACAATTAATCATAGCCGACTGTTAGCTTTTCTTTGCAAACTCTCCCTTTCCACGCGTGTCATTTCCTCCCTCCCCCAATGCTTCTCTTCGAAGCTAAGCTTCTCCTTTCTACTTTAAATGCTCCGGCACTTCATCCACGCAAGACACCCTTCCTCTCCTCCTCCACCCCCCCTAAAAAAAAAAAAAAAACCCGAGGGAATCCGAAGACATCGCCCCGTTAATGACTTTGTTCTGCTCTTAGTTACCGGCAAAGAAGGGAAAGAGGAAGAGAGATCCCGTCCCTAAAGGTGCTCGTACCACAAGAAACGCGGTTTCCTTACTTAATCGCCGGAGAGAGAACGCGTCCTTACCTGCACAGCAGCTACACCCACTGACAAAGTCGGTTATGGCACAGGATCGGCCGTTCCGAGAGAAATCCCTTCCCTTCTCCCGAAACGCAGACTTTCCTTCCTTCCTTCCTTCCTTCCCTCCTGTTTTGTTTCCGCCCCGTTTCCCCCACCGAGAAAGGCAACTCCCGCGTAGCTCTCTAGTCCCGGGAAGTGAAAATCCTCGGTCCAAAGGAGGTAGCAGCGCCAACCATCCCAGCGAGCCGCGAGAAAAGGAGGAGGAGGAGGGAGGGAGGAAGGGCAGCCACTACTAGATCATCCTGTAAACAGTTATCCCTTCGCCTCAATTAACATGCACAGCAGACTTCCCAGCTGGGCTGACTTTCTGCATGGCAGTGAGTTAACCGTTTGCGGGCTTCGGGGGTGGGGTGGGGGTGCAGGAAATAAAAGAGGCGCTCAGCAGGATCTAGAAGCCGAGCGCGGGGCTGGGGGGGGGGGGTCTTCTTCCCTGCCTTTTCTTTTTTAAATGATCCAAGCGGCGGCGATGCCCCTTTCCTCTTTCCCCCTGGTCTTTCTCGTTAGCTCGGTTTGTTATTAGTCAAGAGATGGCCGGAGGCTGGGGGATAGGCGCAAATAAGAGAGACTTCTAGCCTTTTGACTCAGCCTTGAAGCCCTTCTCCATCGCAGGGTTTTAATCTGTAATAATTCCATACAAGATGCAGCTCCACCTTAGGGAAACTCAACCCCTCCTCCTGTTCCTCCTGCCAATTGCTCCTCCTCCTCCTCCTCCTTGTTCTTACCCCTGCCCTCTTTCCTAACCAAAACATAACCCAACCACCTGAAGCTCCTGAAAGTAAAATCTAAAGTCTGTTTAGAGCAGGGGGATATTCATTTCTGGAGGAAAGGAAAGCAAAGGAAAATGCTTCTCAGTATTCGTGGAATCTGGTTGCTGCTGCTTCGTGTTAAATCTTGCTTTCCTGAATTGGTTGCCCATAATCCAAGCACACCCACCCAACCACCCCCAGAGATGCTTATCCAGACATTAATTAACCTGTCAGCTGAAAGGACAGATTTGTCCCAATGTGTTACGGAGTTGGAGAGGATGTGGTTCCCCATTTCCTCCTTCAGATTGTTTTAATAAGAACGGAGGGCATGTATGTTGTGGCATCAAATTTTGGATGGAAATAACGCTGGGTTTTGGTGAAAGGCTAGACCAGCTTGGGTCAGTGTTGGGTCATCATTCCTGAATCCAAAGAAAGAAATAAGAAGGGCCAAAAGACAGGAAGTGGAGGGTAGGAGTCACTTCACCATTGAATTTCCATGTGGAAATCTGACAGGGAGCATTGGAAACCTTCCCTTCCCTTCCCTTCCCCTCCCTTCCCTCCCCTTCTTGTTACTTGCCAGTAGGCAGGTAAGTAGCACCAAAGGAACAGCGAAAGTGAAGATCATATGACCACAGCAGCAATGCAGCAGCAGCCACTGAATCAGCCATTATATCAAATTTCATTCCCTCAAGATTTACAGATCTTGGATTTTAGATGCATTCTTTCAGTCAAGCCATTCAAGGTACCTGGGTTCCAAAAAAAAAAAAACCCAAAACAAAACCTTTTGATACACCGTTTCACCTACTTGGAAGTCACGGCATTCAGAGTTTTTACTAGTAAATAGATACGTGCACTTTTTTACTTTTGAAAGCTCCAGTCCCGCGTACTGGAGAGATCATCACATTGATTTCTAACTGACTGCTTTTCAAATGTTTGCAAAATATGTTTGTTCTAAAGTCCGTGTCAGAAGCGAGAATATCAAGGAACTCTCCCTCTCCCTCCTTTTTAAGAAAAACCTAAAGAAGAACTGCTTCTTTAATATTCCTTTCATCTCTGATATGGGTGCTTTGGGTAGGTTTTTAAGTAATATCAAGGATGTGCTTTTCTTATAGAAAAAAAAATACAACCTTTAATCGTTTTCCAAGTCACACATGCATCCTCAGCGCCCCACCCTTTATAACTCTGGATGGATATTAAGTTACTGTATTCTGTTCTCACAGGTCTAGTGTGCACATTACAAATGGTCAGCCCACACACTCACACATGCTCACACATCCTGAATAAAGTGGGTTCCAATTAGGCTAAAATTTACACAGTGCAAATAGATTGGCCAAGAATTTCCCTGCACTGATGGCCACAATACTAATTGAGATTCTCTCTGTCTTAGGAGAATGCTCAAGCAAACCAACTGAATCCAGTTGTGTTGTGAATTGACAAACTACTTGTCTTAGAAGAAAAATTAGACACAGGAAATTCAAAGCAACAGGTAACCGGGAGGTCGAAAAGCAGATTGAGACATACTTGGGAGCAGTACACAGATACTTGGAAATTGTCTTTGTTATAGCAGCAAATCCCCTTAAGGTTTATTTATGATTATTCTTTAGCTTTATTTAGGAGCCAAGGAGCATACGTGTTGAACAAGGTTTGTTCCTTGGGTGATTCTTGCTTTTATTAAGGCTGCATAGAGGACTATGTCTTGGTTTGCTTCTTTGTTGATGTCTCTGGTCATTACTTACTCTACTAGCATTTAACTAGAATAGGATTTTCTATTTGTAGTTGTGGTCTGCTGGCAGCCTGCAGAGATGGCAGCAGAATTAGACAGTGTGGAAGAACATGGGCCAATTTGGGAGTCTGGGGAGGATGGACGATGGTCCTGCATCTGATGCAGAGATGGGGCCAGGTCCATCTGAGAGTTATGTGCTGACTCTGGAGCATCCACAATCTGACAGCAGCGAGGCAGAGGAACTAGGGGAGTTTGTTCCCAGTGCACACATGCACAGAGCTGCCAGAAGGCAAGAACAGTTAAGATAAAAGGGTGACTCAGGAGTAAGGCTTGGAGATGATTGCCCTTCCCATAAGATATAAAGGAAGTGCAAAGGGACAGGAAGCAGGAAGCAATGTTTTTCGCTCTGTTCGAATTAAACCTTGAAGCTCTGTGTGGACTTTGTACTTCACTTGGCTTTTTACAGTTAATTTGGCACTTTAGTTGTTGCCAGCAATTCAAAGGAGATAAAGGGTGCTTATCTCAAGAGACTATTTGGGACTCATCATGGGCTGGGAATAAACATAATTTCCAGCATTGAAATAAAAAGAGAGTTGTTTGGACTAAGCGTGTGCTTAATTACTGTCTCAGGAAGCCTTGGTCAGAACATTTGTAGACAAAAGGAGTAATACTGATAAAGAAGGAAGCATTCTGTAATGGGGTGTCAAACTCAATTTCAGTGAGGGTTGCATCAGGGTTGTGTTTTACTCGGGGGATGTGTGTGGCCAGGGGTGTGTGTGGCCAGCTCGACATCACTCATGTTGGACCTGTGGTGGCCTGAGCACTTTGCCAGCAAAAAGGGAGCTCTCCTGCGCTCCGTTTTCTCTGGCAGAGAACTGCAGGAGGCCATCGCAGCCAAAAATAGAGGTCGGGAGGGCTGTGCACAGTCCTCCTGAGCTCCATTTTCATTGGCAGAGTCACCACAGGCCGGTCCTTTGCTCTTTCCAGGACAGCCCTGCAGGCCAGATCTAAGCACCCTTTGGACCAGATCTGTCCCGCTGGCCTTGGGTTTGACACTCCCTGTTCTATAACATTCTTATGACATGGAAACTTGCACTGGATAGTTGTCCAAAGCTACAGGACCATTATTAGTGGTGAGGTTTTCATTCATGCATTAATATCAAAGCAGTATCAAAGTAGCTTTGTCATTCAGCTTTATGCAAAGTTCTTTATAAATAGGCGCCATGGTAAGAATCGTTCCAGATATTCAAAATGCAGGCATATTGACAGATTCATGCATCAGAGTTATTAATCATTATAGTAATCTCAATCTCAAGCATTACTCCCTTTGATTAAAAACTGGGAATGTGTTCTGCTATGGATTTAGATCTTTGGCTGACCTTTGTAAAAAAAAAGAAAACAAAATCCCTCCCCAACAAAATCACCCTGGTTCCCCACCCCCCAAGACAAAAGAATTATTGATGTGTAATTGTTTATCTAGGACGGATACAAATTATTCAGCAGCTACAGTTAATGCATTTTCTTTTCCTTTCCAAAGGTAATATCAGAAATTATTGTCATTCTATCTTCAAGATATGAATTTGGTACCCTAAACATTTATGACTTTTCTGATGTCTTGTATGCCAAAAGAGAAATTGATACATTCAACCCTGCTCTAAACTGTGCATTTGATGACTTTTGCTGATGAATGCATGTCATAGCTGTTTAAATCAATCTCTTAATATGATTTCTCCTTCTGTTTAGCTATCCTTGCTTCACAGAAACAGTGTACAAGTATACAAGCTGAAACCAAAGCTTTAAATTTTAGTGAGAAGGGAAGAAGGGAGGGAGGGAAGAAGGAGAGAAGGAGGGAAGGACGGAGGGAGGGAAGAAAGGGGGAGAAGGGAGGGAAGAAGGAAGGAAGGAAGGAAGGAAGGAAGGAACGAAGGAACGAAGGAATGAAGGAAGGGGCTATTATGACATTTAGGCTGCAGAAATATAGATGGCCCCTAAGAGATATCTAAAGCTCAGGATCTTTTCCACCAACTAGTGGTTATCTGAAATTTTGCAACCTAGATACATTAGCATTATCTTGCCTAGACTGTTTTTCCAGGGAATGATCCTGATTACTGATTACCGATTTTTGTCTATATATCTGTATCTGTATCTGTATCTGTATCTGTATATCTATCTGTATATCTATATCTAATCTATCTATCTATCTATCTATCTATCTATCTATCTATCTATCTATCTAT